AACCCAACTCCAGTGTTCTTTGTTGACTATGCAAAAAGCTATGATGCATCCTCCGTAGGAAAGGAAGCGAGTATCATCACTTGCGGTTTGTAGATCATTACTAATAAATGTTTAATCAATAAGACAGCCCCGAGACACTGGCGTGGATCACCAACATGTGAGTCAGTCCCAAGCCATGTGTTGATTGGTCATTTATGCAGTTTATTTCGACACTACTGGTAGTCGTGGAACCGAATATATTTTTGATAATACCATATGAAGAAGTATGTCTGGATCGTATTTAGATATATCTATTGGGTGCTTGCTCTTACAGTATGTATGACATTCGTCTTAAATATTTGATGAGCTGAATTGTTGCTGTATGTAAGGTATAAAATCGTTTCAGTTTCTGGGAAAATGTCTTACTGTCATCCAATTGGTCCTGATTTTTTATTGAAATTTGTTAATGATATAGAAGAATGTCTTATCAAAAGTTGATAAATTCACAAAAATGTCCTCATGCCATTTGTCCTGAATTATTGGTACGATTTGGTGAAGCATTCAGACCAGCAATGGCACCATATCTGATTTCTGTATCTTGAAATTATACTAAAACGTCAAGTTCCATATGTAGGTATTAAAGGCAACCCCATTGTGTTGTTGTGGATGCCCACTCACTAACTCACTTCATCTTTCACTGTAGGTTTTCACTGCAGGTTTTCACTGTAGGTTTTCACTGCAGGTTTTCACTGTAGATTTCGCTGCCGGTTTTTTTTTAACTGTAGGTTTTCACTGTAGGTTTATACTGTAGGATTTACTGCAGGTTTTCAGTGCAGGTTTTCACTGTAGATTTTCACTGCAGGTTTTTTTTCACTGTAGGTTTTCACAGCTGGTTTTCACTGAGGGTTTTCACTATAGGTTTCGTTTGGCTGTTAGTGTTTCCCGCTATGATAGATGTGTAATGCATATGTATTGAATTTACTTATCATGTTTATAGAGATTATCGCTCGGGTCAAAATGGGACCTTTGAACAATGAAAGATGACCAAAGGTTATTTTTGCATTCATAAGTGTGACTGGCAGACAGATTTATTTATTTCGGGAAAGGCCCTCTGTGCTGAAATCAATTCTGCTATTGAAATAATGGCCCTCTAGTGTAGAATTATTATTGCAGCACACAAGCTGAATATGAAATGTTTACGAGATCATAGCTAAACACTTTAGGAGTTATGTAACATGTATTCTACATCCCTGTGATCATCGTAATTGCCCTACTTGGATGGTAGCTGTCGTGGAGACCAGGTGTCTGCACTTCTCCCACAATGCAGCAGTCAGGATACATCTACGTCAAAGTGTCTGATATTTGATGAGCATACATCTGTGATTGTCAGACAGTTGGAAATGTGACTATCTATGACTGACTCCCTGTGTCGAACAATCTTAAATATTGCTATAATAATGTGACTATGTCTGTGTCAAATTTGGGGAAATATAGGTGCAAGACTATTGTATATCTAGAGCAGACTATAGGTGCTTGACTAAGGTATGTCAAGACAAGACTGTAGGACCAGGAGCTATGTCTATGTCATTGTATGTCTTGGACCAGACTATAGCTGCCAGACTATCGTATGTCTACACCAGACTATAGCTGCCAGACTATCATATGTCTACACCAGACTATAGATGGTTGACTATCGTGTGTCTACACTAGACTATAGATGGCAGACTATCGTGTGTCTACACCAGACTATAGCTGCCAGACTATCGTATGTCTACACCAGACTATAGCTGCTAGACTATCATATGTATACACAAGACTATAGCTGCCGGACTATCGTGTGTCTACACCAGACTATAGCTGCTAGACTATCATATGTATACACAAGACTATAGCTGCCAGACTATCGTATGTCTACACCAGACTATAGCTGCTAGACTATCATATGTATACACAAGACTATAGCTGCCGGACTATCGTGTGTCTACACTAGACTATAGATGGCAGACTATCGTATGTCTACACCAGACTATAGCTGCCAGACTATCGTATGTCTACACCAGACTATAGCTGCTAGACTATCATATGTCTACACAAGACTATAGCTGCCAGACTAACGTATGTCTACACCAGACTATAGCTGCCAGACTATCGTATGTCTACACCAGACTATAGCTGCCAGACTAACGTATGTCTACACCAGACTATAGCTGCCAGACTATCGTATGTCTACACCAGACTATAGCTGCCAGACTAACGTATGTCTACACCAGACTATAGGTGCCAGACTATCGTGTGTCTACACTAGACTATAGGTGCCAGACTAATGTATGTCTACACCAGACTATAGCTGCCAGACTATCATGCATTTAGGGCAACTGGAACTATGACTGTCATATTCCTATCAGATCTATGATTCAGGGTTACAGTGGAAGCGGTGTGCAGATTAAACAGTAAACCCAGTGATAAGGAAAGTTTTATTCAGTCCCTGAATACATTGCTGCCACCAATGACTGGATACTTATTTTCCAAGGAAACTTAAATATTTCAATTCATGACCTGCATGTTTCTTGCCTGTCCCACAGTTTCACAGATCTCCGTTTCATTGATCTTGCGGGGGCACGGGTGGCCCAGTCAGCTAAGGCGCCGCGATTCGCTGTGCAGAGTTGCGTCCCTTGGGCATGCCAGAAACCTATGATTGTGGGTTCGAATCTCGGTTCGCCCCAATTATGTTTCTAGGTTTGTCAGCACCATACCCATGCTCGTGGGTTTCACCGAAGTGGTAAACGTCTGAGACCTGCATCACTTCGGGCTTTCCTCCCACATTAAGCTGACACGCCGTGATATAACTGGAATACTGTTAAAAGCGGTGTTAAACCCAACTCACTCACTCACTCATTGATCTTGCACATGGAAGCTTTGATTTTCACTGTAGCATGATTCACAAATACATTGCATTTGTCGTTATACACATGGGCATTGCCTCTCATACACAGCCTTCCAAGTTGTGACCAAATTGGTCGCATTTGTGATTTAAATTACCATTCTGTGACCTCTATTTGTTGCTCGTTTGCCAGTTGGCTCGCATCAAAAGAATCAGCATGGCGATTAAAATATTTCACATATTGAAAGAAACTGACAAACAGCATAGCTTGTCTATATTGGCATCACGACTTCCTTGTTTAAGGTGTAGTATAACTACTGACAGTAATACTGAAGCCTCTCTTGCTTCTGATGCTGTTGTCTGCAATGCTGCAAATATTACCGGTCATGCACACATTTCTCAGTTTTCTGTCACGATTATAACATGTTCAAATCATAGAGATATGTTTTGACACATTATCAAGAGCCATCTCGAAGGCACCCTGTCCATCACAGAATGATGAAATAACCATGGCTAAGCAGCATTTGAAATTGGCACTAGTGCTTTAGCCCTTGCCAAACTGCCCAATAGTTAAGGTATCATAAGGACAATTAGAAATTTGCCATTTTTAGGGTTTTGCTATATGTTAGCATTTCAAGGACTAGTGGACTGAAACTGTTAGTTTCTAACACTGCTGTTCTGAAATTTTATTTTTTTTATAAGTCTAAATTCATGTGGTTCCTTTTGTTTTAATGTGGCTCCTAAACAATGTTTAAGTTTGAAAAGGCACCTTGGAAAATATTGCTAGAGCCAACACTAAATTTTTAGTGCTGATACAAACCTTGAAACAAAATTCCAAAAAAAGTTCACAATTCTTGTCAAGTCTTGATATGTATAAAAACAATATTGGAAAAAGAATTGTCAAACTATTTTCATATCAGGGACTAAATGATTCTCAAACATAGGTCCAACCAGGGTTGCGAATTCTCCTGAGATTTTGTGGCTATAGTTTCCGCAATGGTGTTGTCAAATGTGGTTTGGATTTTTTAAGATGGCCACAACCAACTATTGCTGAGCCATTTATTCATGTACGTCATTTTGTAATTTGAAGTACAGGCGTAATTTTGTCTGTTCTATCAGTCTGCCATTGAAGCCATAAGTCTGAAGCTACATCCTAGTAGAATATCTTCCTGCCTAGTTATCTCAGCTCATAATGGCCCCTATATCTACATTAACAACCAGTTCAATTATGCCAATAGGCTACTTCTAGCAAGTAGACACTTAACTGACTTAAGTTTCGCACAAACTGTTATGTAGGTATGTTAACTTTGTTGTGATATGTTAGCTTTACAATGTTGGTTATGATCAACATGAAACACTCACTCATTCACTCACATTAATTGTATGATGAAAAAGGCTGATGTATTTTGTATGAAGAAGGCCAATGTATTTTGTATGATGAAAAAGGCTGATGTATTTTGTATGATGAAAAAGGCCGATGTATTTTGTATGATGAAGAAGGCTGATGTATTTTGTATGATGAAGAAGGCTGATGTATTTTGTATGATGAAGAAGGCCGATGTATTTTGTATGACGAAGAAGGCCGATGTATTTTGTATGATGAAGAAGGCCGATGTATTTTGTATGATGAAGAAGGCTGATGTATTTTGTATGATGAAGAAGGCTGATGTATTTTGTATGACGAAGAAGGCTGATGTATTTTGTATGATGAAGAAGGCCGATGTATTTTGTATGACGAAGAAGGCTGATGTATTTTGTATGATGAAGAAGGCCGATGTATTTTGTATGATGAAGAAGGCCGATGTATTTTGTATGACGAAAAAGGCTGATGTATTTTGTATGATGAAAAAGGCCGATGTATTTTGTATGATGAAGAAGGCTGATGTATTTTGTATGATGAAGAAGGCTGATGTATTTTGTATGATGAAGAAGGCCGATGTATTTTGTATGACGAAGAAGGCCGATGTATTTTGTATGACGAAGAAGGCCGATGTATTTTGTATGATGAAGAAGGCTGATGTATTTTGTATGATGAAGAAGGCTGATGTATTATGTATGATGAAGAAGGCTGATGTATTATGTATGATGAAGGCTGGTGTATTATGTATGATGAAGGCTAATGACATCATATTATTTTCAGGCTCAGAGTGATGACGATGATGCTGACGATGTCGCCGTTACCGTGGATACCGGGGGTTTCATGGAGGAGTTCTTTGAACAGGTTGGTAGTGATGGTACCCTTTTAGTGTAGGGCAGCTGTGTTCAACTAACACTTCTGGCAACTGTTATATGTATAAACTATAGCTGACGCAGACCTCCATGACATCCATGAAATATTGTGACGTACATGTTTCTGAGCTGAATTGGATCATGACAAAACTGAAGGTCATGGCTCACACACAACCGTTCAGCTTGTAAAAAACCAAACAACCACTACTGACACATGTGACACATGATCAGTGTTTGAAACAATTTTAAAACCCAACAGGACAGTCGGGCATGTGACCCATAAATATTGCCCTACCGTGTTCAAAGTTACCTGCCCGCATTCAGACACTATGAACATTGAAAATTGAAAAATCACGAAAATAAGAGACAAATCCCTTATAGTTTCAGTTGAAATAATGCCAAAAATTACTTTTTATGAGTTATGATAAAACTGAATACGTAAGTAATGTTACCAGACAGTCGAGGAAAATTTCATGCAGCCCAACAGAAAAGTTACCAGCCACGGGCAGGCAGTTATTTTGGACATTGCACATGATTACACGTTCAGTAGTTATGGGATTAATTTTCTTTGAAATGTTTGTGTGTGACAAATGAATTAACTTGAGACCATCACCCAACTTTCGTCATGGTAACCGAAGTGCGAACAGAGTCGGTTGTGGTGTGACAAACAAGTGACACATCAGACATTATGACGTCATGATATCATCCGTACAGGCCGATGTCCGGATTCTTTAACGAGAGTCAACGCTTTTCATACTATAAGACAAATTCCATCACAGGATGAGTACAAGACCAACCAAATCATATCTATTACATTAGTGTTAATGAAAAAATGGCTTGAGATCTCAAGAACGTTTCAGTAGACAATTGTATATTACAATTAATTTACATTTACTTTAACATGTAACCCTTGAATATGCTTGAATATGCTTGAATATGCTTGAATATGCTTGAATATGCTTGAATATGCTTGAATAACCTTGTTTTGTATTGATATGAGATATCACAATGAGACATTCATATCATGAAAGACAAGTGATGCATGCTTGATGACTCATTACACCACCACCAGTATCATCGTATGATACTGTTTTTGGAAGTGCTAATGATAGCCTTTCATGATATGACTGTGATATACACATACATGTTACAGACCAGTGTGATATGGCTGTGATAATGCAGACTATACATGCTCCAGGCCAGTGTGATATGGCTGTGATAATGCAGACTATACATGCTCCAGGCCAGTGTGATATGACTGATATTGCTGACTATACATGCCCCAGGGCAGTGTGATATGACTGATATTGCTGACTATACATGCTACAGGCCAGTGTGATATGGCTGTGATAATGCTGACTATACATGCTCCAGGCCAGTGTGATATGACTGATATTGCTGACTATACATGCTACAGGCCAGTGTGATATGACTCTGATATTGCTGACTATACATGCTACAGGCCAGTGTGATATGACTGTGATAATACTGACTATACTTGCTACAGGCCAGTGTGATATGACTGATATTGCTGACTATACATGCTACAGGCCAGTGTGATATGACTCTGATATTGCTGACTATACATGCTACAGGCCAGTGTGATATGACTCTGATATTTCTGACTATACTTGCTACAGGCCAGTGTGATATGACTGATATTGCTGACTATACATGCTACAGGCCAGTGTGATATGACTGATATTGCTGACTATACATGCTACAGGCCAGTGTGATATGACTGATATTGCTGACTATACATGCTACAGGCCAGTGTGATATGACTGATATTGCTGACTATACATGCTACAGGCCAGTGTGATATGACTGATATTGCTGACTATACATGCTACAGGCCAGTGTGATATGACTGATATTGCTGACTATACATGCTACAGGCCAGTGTGATATGACTCTGATATTGCTGACTATACATGCTACAGGCCAGTGTGATATGACTCTGATATTGCCATCTGCAGCCCACTGTGGTGTGGGGGAATAAACAGTAAACAAAGTAGAAGACGTTGACTGTGATTGACATGATTCACCAGATCGATGAATCACACTACGTGTGCCTGCATTACTTTAAAGAAACTGTATTATCACATTGATTATATTGAGTCTAGTGTAAGAATGGATGAATCATAACATTTCTGTGGTCGGTTCAGGGACCACGTTTGTGTGTGTCTTTAACAGATCAGGAAGTAGCATAATTAGGCAAGTCATTGACTCACAGTTCGGACATTTTTCTGAAACAAATATATTGAAAACCTTATGGATTACTTTAGATGTTACTGAAAACACCTTACAGATCAACATTTATGCACAGAGCTGTAGATAAGCTTTTGGTTATGTTTGTATTTTGACCAGGGCTTTGATTTTGATTGGGTGATGACAATGGGTATAGGTAGTGTCAAGCATAGATGTGTCTACAGGTAGTGTCAAGCATAGATGTGTCTATAGGTAGTGTCAAGCATAGATGTGTCTACAGGTAGTGTCAAGCATAGATGTGTCTACAGGTAGTGTCAAGCATAGATGGGTCTACAGGTAGTGTCAAGCATAGATGTGTCTACAGGTAGTGTCAAGCATAGATGTGTCTATGGGTAGTGTCAAGCATAGATGTGTCTACAGGTAGTGTCAAGCATAGATGTGTCTACAGGTAGTGTCAAGTATAGATGAGTCTACAGATAGTGTCAAGTATACGAGGGGTGTTCATTAAAGATTTCCCCCGACCCACTTCCGATGGACCTAGTGGAATGAAACTTGGCATAGGTATTAGTCTTTCTCCACATAGGAACCACCAAGAGTTACACACTTCTCCCATCGTTTTATGCAACTATGGAGACCTCGCTTGTAAAAGCCCTCATTTTGCGTCTCAAACCAGGACTTGACTTCAGAAATGAGTGTTTCATCATCTGTGAAACGTTTTCCCTTCAAAAATGACTTCATGGTTGGAAAGAGGTGGAAGTCAGATGTAGCAAGGTCAGGAGAGTAAGGAGGATGTGGAAGGATTTCATAGCCACAGGACCGCGCTTCTGTCTGGGCAACATGAGAGTTGTGTACTGGAGCATTGTCTTGCAGGAGACGGACACCCTTGGTCAGCATGCCACGCCTCTTAAGCTTGATAGCGTCCCGCAATTTCCGCAGCAGTGAAGCATAATAAGCTCCTGTAATTGTGGTACCCTTTGCCAAGAAATCCATCATCACAACTCCGTGCTGGTCCCAAAACACCGTGAGCATGACCTTGCCTGCAGAGGGTTGGACACGTGCCTTCTTTGAGGGGTTGACTCCACATGCTTCCATTGCATCGACTGAACTTTAGTCTCAGGATCATAGTGATTGACCCATGTTTCATCCTGTGTGATAAGTGTCAAAAAAGTTTGCCTGTTTTTTTTGGCACATGTCCAAAAGATCCTTTGAGCAATTGACTCGTTCCTGCTTTTGGAAAGGTGTGAGCAACCTGGGAATCCATCGTGCAGACACCTTATGCATGTTCAAATTGTCATGGATGATTTTTTCCACAGACCCTACACTGATCTTGACATCCTTGTGCTAACTGGCGAACAGTTATACGTCGGTCTGCCAAAATGGCGGTCTCCATTTGATGGATAGTGTCCTCATTGGCTGAATGGGGGCGACCAGGAATGGCAGCTGTTTCCACAGATGTCCGACCACACTTGAACTGGCGATGCCAGTGTTTAACAACGTCATATGATGGGGCATCTTCCCCATAAATTGCTTTCATTTCATCGAAAGTTTCTTTTGGTGTGCGACCTTTCAAATATAAAAACCTAATCACTGCTCGGTATTCTACTGGCTCCATTGTCACACCCTACTCGATCATAACACCTGTAAAAGTGGTAAGATTAATAGTTCGGTGCTGCAAATTCAGACATAACCCATAGATACATGTATCATTACACATGTGAAATTTCAACCAAATATGATAACCCTAAGTGGTTTAGGGGAAATCTTTAATGAACACCCCTTGTAGATGTGTCTACAGGTAGTGTCAAGCATAGATGTGTCTACAGGTAGTGTCAAGCATAGATGTGTCTACAGGTAGTGTCAAGCATAGATGTGTCTACAGGTATTGTCAAGCATAGATGTATCTTCAGGTAGTCTCAAGCATAGGCTGGATTACACTGAGGGTGCGAACAGCCATGAAATTGTCAAATCCGCCATTTTCTCCTGGTCCCGATCAGTTTCGGATTACACAGTCTACTGTTGTATATATAAAACACTTCATAGTTTTTTAGGCTTGTGTACCTGCATTGCCTGTATTTTTCTGTACATCAGTTTCTTCTGATCGAAAGCAGGCCTCGCATACAAGAACTTGTAGATAATGCTCAAAATGATCCATCACTCCTTTTGCAAACTAGACATATCGCTATTGTGAACCTGCGACACGTGACATGCTCCAAGCAACACATGAACAGATGCAGCTCAGAAGTCATCTGAAACAGCATTATGAGCAGACGTGTTTCCAGAAAGTGTTTGTTCATTGGTTTAAAGATATCCAATAGACTGAACCCATGGGAGTCAAAATATATTGAATACCAACAGAAAAATATGAACTAACCAGTGTGAGTGATAGTAGAGTGAGAAAATGCATGGAGATGCTGGGGTATGATTTGACCAGGTTATTATATCGGCATGATCACATTATCAACATAAAGATGCTGTAGAAGGAGGATATTATCAAACTGAAGGCGCTGTAGAGCCAGTTGACCAAGATGTATAGAGGTTGAAACATCATTAGAAGGTCTACTGTAGCGGAAGATGTTTGGAGATTGAGACATTATTTGGAGGTCTACTGTAGGGGAAGATGTTTGGAGATTGAGACATCATTTGGAGGTCTACTGTAGGGGAAGATGTTTGGAGATTGAGACATCATTTGGAGGTCTACTGTAGGGAAAGATGTTTGGAGATCAAGACATTATTTGGAGGTCTACTGTAGGGGAAGATGTTTGGAGATTGAGACATAATTTG